CCCTCCCCCAGCCATCCCTCCCGGGGGCTTCTCACTTCGGGACAAGGAAGAGACAACCCAAAACTGGTAAAGCCCAGGTTGGCAGGAGCCGAGACATGGGAAATGAGTCGGGGAGGACAAAGTCCTAAGGGTGGTCCTGCTACTGTGCATACCCCTTCCTAAGGCTTGGAAGTCCTTGGCAGCTCAGATACCCATCTCCAGCCATCCCTCCTGCTGCCCTGGGCTCTGGGCGGGTTTCCAGGGTTGCTCTCTCCTCTGCAGCACGCAACGCCCTCGTCGTCCTGTTTGCTGGCCTGGTTGCTTACTCCTTCCAGGTGATGGGCTCCCAGCCCCTCACGCTCACGGGCAGCATCCCCCGGGGCCTCCCTGCCTTCCGGCTGCCGCGCTTCTCCCTGGCAGCACCCAACGGCACCGTCCCCTTCCCGAGCATGGTGGAGGTGAGTGCTGGGGTGGCTGGTGGAGGCCAAGCTCCCCTTGGGCTGCTCTGCTCCCTCCTGCGTGTGCTGGCTCCCTGCACAGTGGGATGAGGCCACTCCCGGCCCTCCCTCACCGTACCCTTCCCTCCCAGGACATGGGGGTCGGGCTGGCCGTGGTCCCGCTCATGGGCCTGCTGGAGACCATCGCCATTGCCAAGGCTTTTGGTACGGCTGCACCAGGGTCCTGCCCTGCGCTCGTGGGGGGTCCCACAGGGGCTCGGGGTGCTGGGGAGGGGTCTCCCCAGGGGCTCAGGGTGCTGGGGAAGGTGCTCTTCTCATGAGGGCACTGAGGGGTACAGGTCTGCCTGTGCCGAGCCCGTTCCATCGTGTGGGCTGGCAGGAGGGGTCCCGCAGGGAGCACAGCTGAAATTGGCCCAGGAGGTGGGTGTTGTCTCAGGGTGCTCCTGTGCCTGAGGGGTGCCAAGATAGGGCCCACACTGTCCCAGTCAGTGCTGGCCCCACACCGTGTGCGTGGCGGGTTGTGCCTGTGGCAGTCTCGGGCCAATGCCGGTATCTCCTTTCAGCCTCGCAGAATGGTTACAGGATTGACCCCAACCAGGAGCTGCTGGCTCTGGGTAAGACACTGCTGTGGAGCAGTTCAGGGGTGGGGGTCTGGCTTCAGTGCTACCGTGTATCCCAGAGCTCCTGAGCTACACCAGATCCCATCTCAGCAGTCCTATCTCTCCCTGAAGATTTCCCTTTCTTACCTTGCATGCTGCCCCCACCAAAGCTGTTCCCACAGGAATTTCCAGAGCAGTCTGAGTCACACTTGCACAGCGGGATAGGCTCTGATCCAGCCTCTGGTACTGGGGTTGGAGGAGGTGCTGATGGGGACACAGACCCAGCTCATGGCTCTGGCGGTGCCTCCCCAGCCCCTCTCCTTTCCCTCCTCAGGTGTTGCCAACATCCTGGGCTCCTTCGTCTCGTCGTATCCCATCACAGGCAGCTTTGGCCGGTGGGTAGCAGGAGGGGGGACAGGCCCCAGCCCACAGGACACTCACTTGGGCCTGTGGGGTGAGGGGGCTCTGCAAGATCTTGGGTGGAAGATTGTGCAGACCCCAGTGGGTCTCTGAGCTTATGTCCTGGTCCCAGCAGCCCACCTTGGTGGCCAGGCTGTGCGTGTGTCCCATGGCCACCTTCTCTCCTGTCTCAGTGCTCTGCAGTCCCGCTGCAGCCTGGGAGCCACTCGTGTTTCTTGCTTGTGTTTCTCCCTGGTGGGGTCCGGCAGGGTCAGTGATTTTCCTGGGTGGGGGGTCTGGGCAGTGGGTGGGGCAGCCCCTGGCCCCCCTGACCCCCTCACAGCCTAGGACGTGTTGCTTTGCCTTTCAGGACGGCGGTGAACGCGCAGTCAGGGGTCTGCACCCCTGCGGGAGGGCTCGTCACAGGTAGGGCCCTGACCCTGCCGTGGGCTGCTCTGCAGGCCCCCCTGCCTGGGAGCCCTGGGCATCAGGGACCCCATGGCTCAGGGGCTCCCCCCGTCCCACAGGTGCCCTGGTCCTGCTCTCACTGGCCTACCTCACCTCGCTCTTCTACTACATCCCCAAGGCGGCCCTGGCCGCCGTCATCATCTCGGCCGTGCTGCCCATGTTCGACGTGGGGATCTTCAGGACGCTCTGGCGGGTTAAGAGTGAGGGCACAGGCTGATCCCCTGGTGCAGCCCAGCTCTGCCTGCAGAGCAGGCACTGTCACTGAGGGCCCTGTGGCACCGGGACAAACCAAAGCTGAGCCTGGGCTGCCTCTCTTGCAGGGCTGGACCTTGTGCCCCTCTGTGTGACGTTCCTGCTCTGCTTCTGGGAGGTCCAGTATGGAATTGTGGCTGGGGTGCTGGTCTCAGGGATTCTCCTGCTCTACTCCATTGCCAGGCCCCCAATAAAGGTGGGCTTCACACCTCCCCTTGGGTGTGGCAAGGCCACAGTGATCGCCAGGGATCTGGGAGGGGGTTCATGAGGGCAGTGAGGTGTTGGGGTGCAGGATGCTTCTGTCCTGTTCGTGCCCTCTCCTGTATCATCAGCCTGCCATGAGCGCAGCACAGGGACCTCTTTAAAGGACCACAAGGAAGGGAATCTCCCAGGACTGGAGAGCAGGATGGGGAGGCATTGCTCTCCCTGTCCTGCTGACTCTGGGTGTGGGCAGGAGGGGCTTTCCCTGAGGGATGGGGGCTCCTGTGTGTCCCCCTCCGTCCAGGAGGACAGTGAGTGACACAGGCAGTTGTCCCCCCCGGGAAGGTCACAGCCCTGAGTTCCCAGTGACTTGTCCCCCTGCACGGGGGTCTGTGCAGGTGTCGGAGGGGGACGTGCTCCTCGTGCAGCCGGGGAGCAGCCTGCACTTCCCAGCCATCGAGTGCCTCCGGGACACGGTGTGCAGCCGTGCTCTGGCAGGTATGGTCCCACCCCTGCCAGCCCCGGCCCTGGCTCTGAGGGCTGTGACCCCTGGGCTGGCCATTTCTGGACTCATCAGGGATGTGACCTTATGCTCTTCCAGCAGCATCTCCACCACGCTCCGTCATCCTGGACTGTTGCCACATCAGCAGCATTGATTACACGGTGGTGGTGGGGCTGGCAGAGCTGCTGCAGGAGCTGCACAGGAGGGGCCTGCTCCGTGCTGGCACAGACCTCAGCCTCATCTCAGACACGCAGCTGCTGCAGGAGCTGCACAAGCACGGCCTCTCACTGGCTTTCTGTGGCCTGAAGGTGTGTGGGACCTTGGCCACCCCATCCCAGGCTCTGCTGCCCCATCCCAGACCCTGCTGCCTCTCCCCTACAGCCTGGGGAGGGTCCCTGTCGATGGGCTCAGCCCGGCTGCCTTCCCCCATGGTCTGTGCTGGCCTCTTCTCTGGTAGCACCTTTATCATCTCAGCACCTTCCACAGAGGTGGAGGCTGCAGGATGTGGGTGGTGAGAAGGGCTGGATCCTCTGCTCTGGGCTGGCTGGGGGCTTAGCTCTGGAGGGGCAGGAATTTGCCAGTGCTCCCCCAGCCCAAGTTTCTCTGCCCTCAGGACCCCGTTCTCCAAGTCCTCCTGTCCGCCGACTTAGAAGGATTCCAGCATTTCCCCAGCCAGGAGGAGGCAGGTGAGGCTCTGGGCTGCCCCTGGTGCTCTCTCAGGATGCTGGTGAGTAGGGCTCTGGAGGATGAACCTGGGGGTCTGACCTTTGTCGAGCCCCAAAGCAGCAGTGGGGGGGCTGCAGGGACCTGGCTGCTGGGAAGGTGAGCTGGTCACCTCAGCCTCGGGGATTCACGTGAGCTGTCGTGGTTTAACCCAACAGCAGCTCAACACCACACAGCCCTTCTTCGCTCCTCCCACAGAGAGATGGGGAGACAATCAGAAAGAGGTTAAACTTGTGGGTTGAGATAAAGACAGTTTATAGGACAGAAAAAGGAAAGGAAAATTATGATAATAACTAGAGAATATAGCAAGCAAGTGATGCACAGGGTGGTTGCTCACCCACTGACTGATGCCCAGACAGTCCCTGAGCAGTGGCTGTCACCCCCCCAGCCAAATCCCCCCAGTTTTTTCTTCAGCACAGTGTCCTGTGGTCTGGAACATCCCTTTGGGCATTGGGGTCGCCTGTCCTGGCTGTGCCCCCTCCCAGCTTCTTGAGTCCCCCAGCCTCTTGCTGGCCAGGCAGTGTGAGAGGCTGAGAAGTCCTTGGCTTAGTGTAAGCACCACTCAGCAGCAGTAGAGCCAGCAGGGTGTTATCAGCAGGATTCTCATCCTGAACCCAAACATGACTCTGTAGCAGCTCCTTGGAAGAAAACTAACTCTGTCCCAGCTAAAAGCAGGACAAAAGTCTGGCCTTAATTTGCTTCTCCCCTTCCTGGCCCAGAGCGGTGCAGAGGAGCAGAGCTGTGGGACAGCAGGACCGACCCCTTCACCAGCACCACCGAGAGCTCGGGGCTCATCCAGTGAGTGAGGAGTCACCATTTGTGCTGGGGTTGAATGTCCTGGGACACCCCAGTGACATCAACACCCTCTGCGGGAGCCGCCTGCCCCTGCCCAGCTCCTGGGCAGCTGGGGATGGACTGTCCCCATGTCCCACACCAGGGAGGGCAGAGCAGCACCAGCCCAACCCCACACAGGCTGAGGTGAGCACTGGGACCAGGGGTCTGCTGGTCCCACACCTGCCCCCAGCCCCATGGGGCTCTGGCACCTCGCCTACTCCACAGGTCGAGGGCAGGCACTCCCTGGAAGGGATCAGTGGGACAAAACCATTCCCTGTCCCGGTGATCAGTGCAAAGCTGTCCCTCCTTCACAGAGCTGCTGTCTTTTTTTAATCCACTGTTTTAATTCTGGACATTTTTCATGTTCTGGGGCACACCGACGGCGTGCTCTCCTCAGAGAGTTTCAGGGCTGCTGGCGCTGCCCTCCAGCCCGAGGGCATGTGACAGCTCAGCAAAACATCCGGGACTGATCCCTCGTTTGTGGGTGTTGTGCCAAGCGCTGCCCGGGGGCAGGGCCGGGCTGTCCCCCTGGGGTGCAGCCTGTTACAGCAGCCCGGTGGGGCTGGGCAGGGTCGGGAGTTGAATTTTCCTGAGCAGCCCTCCGCTGGCACCCAGCAGGGAGGGTGTAATAAATCAGGAATTGCTAATGAGTCAGCGTGATCTCTGTGTTTCTGGGAGAAAGCTTTTTCTTTTGTGTGGGATGGGGAAATTCCCTTCTGGGCGCTGCTGAGCACTCCAAGGAAAAGAAACTGAAACCAAACTCGGCTGCCCGGATGATCCGAGCCCGAGGGCACACTCCGGCGCAGTTCCTCCTGCCAGGGGCGTGTTGCAGGTTTTGCAAGAGCAGCAGAGGAGCTGAGGAGCCACACGGCTGCCAGGGCCGGCAGGTCGTGCCGTGGGGTGTTCATTCCTGCAGCGGAGCAGCGCTGGGCGGTGAGTTCCCTGCTGCACCCCGGTGATGCTGGGAGCGGGAAAATAGGAGTATGGGGGTCAAAAGGGCCGATTGTGTGGGAATAGCGTGTGTGCTCAAACCCGTGTGAACGCTAGTGGAGATCAGGTGTGCTGGGAGCCCGTCTTCAGCTTGGTCCTCGTTGTATCCGGGATGCAGCAACAGCTGCATCCCCACTTTTTACTGTTGGATCCACTTTTGACTTTTGATTGTCGGATCCAGCATGATCTGCTTTCCTGCAACACACTTGCCCCCATGGCCCCCAGCCCTGCTCCAGCCGCCTGCGGACTGCAGGAGTGGGGGGTTGGTGTATCTGTACCCCACCAGCCCAAAGCAGGAAAAGTGGGGCTCCGCCGGGGATTTGGGGGCTGCGGGAAACGCAG